GCGGTGGCGTCGCGCCGGGGTGCCGCGCTGCTCCGCTTTCCCGGGGAGACGGCCGCCGTCGGATCCCTCCCGTGCGCAGTTTCGGGCTCCGGGTGTCAGTCCCCTGACAGCCGATCGGTCTGCAGGGGCTGCGGGGAGGCGTCCGATCCCCCTCCGCAGCCCCCAGGCACGGGTCTCGCCGCAGGTTTCTGCAGGATGCCTCGGAAACCGCCTTCCTACTTCTTCCACTTTTTGCTGGGGAAAGGTGACTGTTATCAAACCTGCTGTAGGTAACTGGTCCTCTGCCTAGAAGAAACACACCTGTCAAATTCCCGTTAAGCTGCACTGTTGCTTTTTCTAAAAATATATTTTGGGCTGTACTCTAGGGGTGCATGCATTTTCAGGGCAGGAGACAATCTTTGTGAAGAGTGTCCTTACAACATGTTCAGTGAAGACTTTTCTCCAGTTTGTGGTATCTACAGTTCAACAGGAAAAAAACAGGCTCTTAGTTTTTCAGAAGTTGTGTTAGACTTTACTGAGACCGACTGCTGTTGCAAGAGGGAACAAAATCCATTCACTGTACAGAGTTTCCATGCAACTGTAACTCTTACTTGGTAAGTTTTTAGTGTAGGCTCCCGTTTTTGACAGAATCAATATGAACAAACCAAAGACTAAACAAAACCAAATACAATATGGTTATAACTGGGTAATAAAATAATTTAGTTTTGGTTATGTTTGGCCACAACCTCATTCATAAAGTGAAAGTTGTGCTCACACAGTAAAAGGGACTATGAGTTTTCAAAGTTTTTAAGCTCTAAAAGAGGTGCCCAGAGTAATGAAGAGGTGAGTACAGGCAGAAATAGACACCCCTCACTACCCCTCATCAGTGCTCCATTCAAAGGTGGCTAGTCCAGTTTTGTCATTCCACTTGTTACTTCATTGATAATGCTTTTTTTTTTTTCTGATTGATACCCAGTTCTCACATATGCAAAATAAGTCACCTGAATTGTTCATTTTTAGATTAATCATTAGGGTTTGAGAATGTATAAAGAATGCTGACGTAGAAAAGGCTGTGAGGATGTCATGATTAAAATAATTGCTTTTTCTTTTCTTCTTTTTTTTTAATTTAAATATACATAGATTTTCCCGCATTTTTTGGAGATACTGGTGGAAATTTAGTAACCATCTCTGCTTTCCCAGCTATGCCTCTTAACATCATGCCCTCTTAAGCCACCTGTCTTGGAAGCAGCACTTCCTCCTTGTGATTAACAGGGAGCCACATGGTAGTGGTATTGATTCAGGTCCAAGGGACTGTGAGATGCTGGGAGTAATACCTGCAGAAATGGATGTGCATCATGTTGTGCACATCCATGCCACGGTGCTTCAAGAAGCTGGGAAATTTGATCAGAGATTTGGATCAGCAGCAGCCTACTTTTTTTTTTTTTTGGCCCACAGAACACTATTTTTGTTGTTGTAGTTTGATTTTTCTGTGTGACCATAAGCATACCAGTGGCTACACAGCTTCTGTCATTGTAGATCTTGTTTTTCGGAGATATATAACTAAACTTATACTCTGGGAGAATATGTGGTATACCAGCTCTCTTAATAGGCATAGTTATGTCAGCATTTCCATTATAAACCTTTTTTCTGCAGTCTGTAATTTAATCACTGTAAGTCGTTCTGTGCGAACATTTGGCACACAAGGTGTGCCTCCTCAGAAATACATTCATAGAATCATAACTAAATCTAGTTGAAAATAGTTCATTCAAATCTGTGTAGCAGGTGTGCAAAACCAGTCTTCCTTAGATGCTCTTTTAGTCTTTTGTCTAGTAAAACCATGTTCCTTTTCGCAGCGCTGGGCCCTGGTATTTGCAGGTCAGTGTATGTACATGTGGTGATTTACTGGGGTAGTGGAGGAAGTGAAGGATGGGAGTGGTGGCTTAGCTTTGAATTGTTCCACTTCTTGCATTGCTTCAAAACTGTTATTTTAAAATATGATTTGTAATATAGAGTTATATACAGCAAATCTCTTACAGGGATTATCTGACTTGCAGTGCAAGTTCTTTCATCTTATAAATCTCTCAGTAGTGTGGTGTTGTGCCAGACTGTCAAGATGATTTAAATATAACTAAAATCCTGCCCAGAAATTTCCACTCCATACTTGAAAGTTTTTTGCCTGGTTGCTAAGGAAGCCAATATCTTCTGAAGGGCCAGGCACAGAAAGGAAGTGTGAGGCTAAATCTTGCTTTTGTTTACAGCTATGCATTCCCACTTAAACCAATAGGTTTCTAAGGTCCAACTGCTTTTTTCAATGTCTCTGGCTTCTCTTGAGTATTCTGGTAGTTCTGGAATAAGAGATTTTTTTTGTGTTCAAAATATCAATAAAACTATTGTCGAGTGCAAAAGGAAGATCAAACCAGAATAGTCAATGCTGAAACAGATAGCTGTTTCACTCTTCACTGCTTTACTCAAGACTGGCAAATCAGGCCCTAATGAAGCGGGTGTTTGTAGGATGTCAGCTACACAAGAAATAAATCAGTCGTTTTACTGTAATATCTGTGCAGTGGACCTGTGCTCCCATAAACTTCTGCTTCACTGAAACCCTCTGTAAGCCTCAAGCTCTCTCACATGGCTCTGAATTCAGGGGTAGGACCTTCAAGTATAAACGTCAAGGTGCTCTTTTTAACTGTCAGCTTTTTGAGTCAGTCATCTGCTAACTCAGTCTTTGCATTTTAGAATTGCGATGATTTTCAGCAGACAAACACCATGCAAAGAAAAATGTAAAATACAGAAACAGCTGAGGATGTAAATTTCTTGCGTGCTTACCTGTGGCTGAGGAGCACACCCAGCTGAGATCGTGGCCCAGGCTGGGTAAATAGAGCATCATGCTTGAGGCAGCATGTTTCCTAATGTGCCAGTTCTGTTTTCAGTGTAAGCTGGTAAACCCCATGCAAATGTGATGTGCTTTATGAAGTGGGTGTTTGTAGGATACCAGCTACACAGGAAACACAGCAATGTTGTTGCTCAGGAAAAGGGCATCATCACGTAATCCTGGTTCTGAAATCTGATGAGCAACAGATGAATTTGTGTGTGATCAATGGACCAGTGATAAGATCTTCAAGCTTTAAGTGATTTGCTAGTGCACATAAACCAATTTGTCAATGGTTCATTTTAACTCAGAGGTGTAGGCATGCTCCTATAAATATTTTTGCATTCATGATGCCTCTGAACAGATAATTTATTTAAAAAAAATCCAGGTACAGAATATAAGACAAAGATCAAACTCCTTGGACCCAACTAATGGATGAGAAATTCGGAAAGCAGATCTATATTCATCACTACTGTGGTATTTAGAGATAGTTGAGGAGCTTGAATACCATGTTGCTTACCACTAACACCAACAGGTATATTTAGCATGAGTTTATGCCCAGCTAAGTTGGGGCACAAAGCTTCACAGGTCTATAGTGGCCAGTTTCCACAAGAATTTACTTCTGTGTCAGCAGTGTATGTGTTGCAAGGGAAGGACCTAGTTAATTCTAATACATACTGTCAAACTTTGTATGATAGGATTTCATCAAATAATCTTGAGATTTTGTTTAACCAAATTGTGCTTTTATTTCAGAGGACACGTGCTTTGTAAGTGTAAAACAAACGTTAAAACAAAGGAAGATGCTGTATGTAACAGGCAGTAATCCTGAGTAGCGTAACAAATAAAGCCATGTAGACCCACTTGAAATGGCAGTAGGAAACACAGCCTTACATCAGTTGCAGCCATTCTGCAGGGTTGGATTTTGGCATTTTTAGCTTTCCTCACAGCCCTGTCCAGCACAGAGGCAGCCATAACATGACTGTAAGAACATCCTGCTCATAGCATTATTATAGTAAGTTTCATTAGACACAATAACTATGGCATATCTTTTTCTGTGACTCTGGACAATGTTTACATTTTTGCCAAGAATATCTGTACAGCGTCTTGTGTGCCTGTGTCTGTGGGTACGTTTTGTTCTCATTCTCCCTTCATTTTAACAAAGACCAGTTTAATAGAGCTACAAATAATGTGTATTTGGGCCGTCAGCTCAAATTTGCACTAA